CTTCATGATCTTTCAGTAATGCTTGTTGTGTAGTCATGAATTGAGCATGAAATTGCAGTGCTGTGCTGTTTGACTCAGGCGTCAGACCCTCGAAGATTGGAGCGAACTCTAGTCATGTGATCTATTGGCGGGTATTCGCTCCCATTATAGGTATCCAAAAAGGAGTCGTTACTGCTCGTAGTAGAGAAATAGGATACTATTCAAAGATTGTATTAAGCATCCTACAAACAATGTATGACGGAAGATAAGGCGCAACGACTGCCCCTCAATAAATAGGATGGAATGTATTAGCGGAGGGTGGCGGAGCTAGTCGGGCAGGATAATTAGGTCATCGCTGTTGCTCAGAAATAAACTTAGGCGTCTCGTCTCTCATCTCTTGACTGCAACTCGAGAGGCTGTTGAGGTTGCGAATTTGCAGGATGAAATTCGTGGTTTGCAAACTTTGTAAGAGGTGGGGCTCCATATGTTTGCTCAACAATCCGATACTGGCCGAAAACACCCCGGCGTAGTGTAACGAAACTCAAACTATCTAACAAAAGGCAATCGCTTCGAAGGTTGGTATGTAGGTAGGAAGTAAAGATGCGCCGGGTTGTTCACTCAGAAGTGAACTCGCTACTTGTATCAAAGATGTCAAACAAGGTGCTAAGATTAATAAACTGAGGCACGAAGCTCCTATCTAATGGCAGAAGTGCCAGTCTTATATAGAACGTATGTATTTTGAGGTGTATCGTTTGCCAAAAAGGGTTTTGGAAATACTGTACGTTTTGTCTGCTAGATTGGCTGGTGTACCTTATTGAGTGAGCAGTTGGCAGTCGTGGAATCAAACTGGGCCGAAAAAAGCCCAGCGTAGTGTTAGACTCCAATGCCTCCAAATTCCTTCAGGCTGAAGGTTGCACAACACATCTGTCGGAAATGGGACTCTTACACATTTTGCGCATATTCCAACGATTCGACTGGGAAACCGATATATTCTATGTTCTCTGCAAAGTTTCAAGTTGTTTCTTTGGTCATGAGAATTGTTAGAATAGGTTGTCTGGGCAGCAGTAACCCGACAACTTAAATTTTCGTGGCCGAGGTAAGCACTGCATCTTGATGCACCATGCGGCTCTGTCAGAAGCTGGCTGCTGTATGGAGTTGATCAATTTAATCACGTGATGAGAGGCTGAAGCCGCCTGAAGTTATCCATTGTGCGGCGTCTATAGCCTCAGGCTGCATCTACCACACCTTCGCTGATTTGTCGGGAATCTCAGCTGCACGCAGAAAATAGGCGCGTTGCCTTAGCAATGAACGAGGTGCCCCAGTCTCCCAAGTATCATATTTACATTTTCAGCTCAACAACAACCCTACTCCTTCAGAATGTCCTCTAGGCGGGAATCAGATTTTGCGCGTCTAGAGCAGCTGCTTCGAGAAGCAGACGAGCGAGCAGAGCAGGAGCAAAGACGTGCAGAGAAAGCCGACGAAAGGGCAGAACAGGAGCGACAGCGTGCGGAGGACGAGCGACAGCGTGCGGAGGACGAGCTACGAAATCGACAACAAGCCGACGAGCGCGCAGAACAGGAGCGACAGCGTGCAGAGGACGAGCTACGAAATACTCAACAACAACCCTACTCCTTCAGAATGTCCTCTAGGCGGGAATCAGATTTTGCGCGTCTAGAACAGCTGCTTCGAGAAGCAGACGAGCGCGCAGAACAGGAGCGACAGCGTGCAGAGGACGAGCTACGAAATCGACAACAAGCCGACGAGCGCGCAGAACAGGAGCGACAGCGTGCAGAGGACGAGC